CCTCCCAACCCTACCCCTCTCCCTCTTTTGGACCGACGACCGCTCCCTTGGTACAAATTTCTTTCCCTCCCCACCTTTCCGCTGCTATTAAAAAAAATCACGCGCGTATTGCGCTCTTTCTGTTATTTGCTCTCTTTCGCGCATGTATTACGAACATTCTTGCAGATCCGTTGCTTTGCAGGTTAAGATTTATAGGAAACTACCAAAGCATTGAATCATTTTTTTCCTCTGTATTTCTTGGTAAGCTATCATTATCGATTTCTCATGAGCTATCAGTACCCTATAATGCACCACGGGAATAATCCAAGGTGGCGGCGGACAAGAGATTCAAAACAACAACGACGTCATAAATGAAGAGAAGCATATTTGGACGTGAAGTACCGCGGAAGAAGGCTCATATTAACCAAATTTTGATCGGTAAGACTGAATGTATTAAAAGAAGATGATTTCTCGGTTCCATCAGTGACAGAAGTACAAACGTTATCCATGAAACGATCGGCCGTGAAATCGTCAAGATTTCCGCACAGCACCAAAGTATTTTAAACAAAGTCATAGCCCCAAAGGCAATGTATTGTTTTCTACATTTCTATCTTTATCCAAGAACTGTATGCATAATGAAGCTTGGGGTCATACGGAAGTCTCACAGTGAAATCCCCCCATTCATCCCCATGGTAACCAGTTCGTTCTGTCATAGAATTCGCATTTACTAAACCACTTAGGAAAAGAGCGGCTATAGTTTAAATTTTGGTTATTTTAATATGTTGTTACCGCACGCTGTTGTGCAATTTCGTAGTAAGCCACTTATAAGGCCCAGTTCAGACTGAATGTAATAAAAGAAAATTAGTTTTTGGTTCTATTAGTGGCAGAACGTAGTACAAACGTTACACACGAAAAGATTGACCGTGAAATCGGTGAGATTTCTGCACAGCACCGAAGTATTTTAAAACAAAGCTATAGCCCTTAAGGCAAACTATTGTTTTCGACGTTTTTATCTGTATCCAAGAGCTGTATGCATAATGAAGCTTGGGGTAATACGGAAATCTTATTATGAAATCTTCCTATTCATCCACTTGGTAACCACTTCGTTCTGTCATAGAATTCGCATCTAATTAAACTACTTAGAAAAAGAGCAGCTATAGATTAAGTTTTGGTCATTTTAATTTGATGGAGTAAAATAAAAGACAATGGGGACTGAGAATTTTTTCTTCATCCAACGTTCGTGACAAGACGATTCTCTATAAGAGATAATGTTACGTGTTTCAAAAGCTGAAGAAATTGCCCGAGTCGCGCATTGATCCTTAATTTTACTCGCGCCCATGCCATTACTTTTTTGTGATATAAAGGATAAAAAAAAATTATGTTGTTACGACACGCTGTTGTGCAATTTCGTAGGAAGCCATTTAAGGCCTACTTCAAACGTTGAATTCCACACAATTCCAAACTGCATGAATTCCACATGAATTCCAAACTGCAATTTTGAGCGACCCAAACGGATAAAGTTCGACCGGTTGGTCAAATGTCGAACATAATTCGTCAAACCGAATTCAGAGCAGCATGATTTCAAATGAAGCCATTTATAATTGATTATTTTAGTTCGTTTCATAAACTGAAAAGATCGACGTTTGTCCCATAGTCGATTTTCACACGATCTATCCGTTTGAAGCAAACCGATACAATATTTTGGTCGATCCTAGTTAAGTTTGGCAAACTTACTTAACTGATTCAAACGTTGAACTTAACACGGACTTAATTCTCTCGGTTTAGTGTTAATGAACAGTAAAACGCACAAATCAGCTAAATGATATTTTATTTTTGAACAGCAACGCCTTAGCGATGAAACTAGCCTCGCTAAAAATCGCACACGCTATCAATGAAATCATAATACTTTTAGGCAAAGTTAAGCTGTTTCATTGTTTTCAATATCAAGTAATTTGGCCCGAGGCATTTTCCAAGTTAGTGAAAAATACTCTCTGTCACAGCCAATCAACATTAAGTAATTTTGCCCCCCAGGAAGTGGATGCTTTAATCGGAGGTCACATTGATACGTAGTGTGTAGTTTTCTGTTAAAATCTGGTTTGAAGAACTCACCCAAAATGGGAGCAATTTTTCATGTGCGAACTGCACTTAACCGTGTATGGAAACGAAGAATCGTGAAAGTTGGAGTCGTTCTGTTCCTGGTCTTTGAATTTCTAACCTTAGTTAGATTCGACAAGTTTACCAGTATAATCACCAACAGCAAAAAAACGACAGCAACAAGCAAAAATCTGACTGATTCGTATAACCTCACACTGATAGAAGAATCTTCCAAAGCACCCAAAATGTCAGGTTTCTTAAACTTGCATTTGTGGTCAGACACTTGTGCTAAAAACTTAGACATTTTGTGTAATTTTCCTATGTTTCCAAGAGCGCCAGATAACAGACTTGCTCTGAATAAAACTGTTATTGCGAGAAATTTGAAACAAGCGAAGGCGATAAGATTGTTTGGATTTATAGACCCGATCGAATCTGGCGTGTTTTTTTTCATGGTTAAATTTTGCATTGCCGAAGTTTATCTTAGCTACAACAAGAACTGGAAAGAAGCAAGACAGATCTTATCCTTAGACGTTGGAAAATTTCCTGAAAACAAGTCAGACTCTCAAGTTTCTTCAGCAATTGATCTGGTAGCTGGAGAGAAATATTTCATCGACATAGTCGCCATTTGTGTTTACAGAATTAACAAGTTACAACTTTTGTGGAAAACTCCAAGTAGCTCTGGTTTTGAAATTCTAAACTCAACGTTTTTATCAACAAAAATGGATGACAACAGCTTAAGTAATCTCAGTTTCTACGACGAAGATATACCAGATTCTCAAGCCTGTGCCCTGAGAGAGAATGACACCACTTATTTTAAATCACGCCGTGAAATAAGCTACTTATCACACGAGGAAGTGAAAAATGTATTACCAAATTGTGAGTATAAACCAAGTTACATTTTGAATCGCAGAGTAAGCAAATATGAAGCAGTATTTCGTCATGTGGTTCACTCATTTATCTTCCCGTTTCCTGAACATCACCAAGTCCGCAATAGATCCAACCGGATTTATCCACTTGGAGAAAGCGAGGCCAGGGAAGTTGTTAACATCTTAATGGAGGCTCTCCGTAATAAATCACCAAGGTAGGAAAATTGCAAAATGAATATAACAAAAATGTATACACTTTGTCTAAATATGAAGTCATGTACTTATCATTAATTAGAACCTGTCATAAGCAAATTGAAGAAAATAAAACTAAACCAAAGGTTGTCTTAGATGTTGAATACAATTTTTGGTGTGAGCCCCAGTTAAAAACGGTAATGACGAGAATGATTTTAATATTATTAATGCTAATGTAACAGTGATAATAACAGCAATAATTGTAATAATGACAAAAACATAGGCAACTTTTTTTTCAGAAGTTCATTTCAAACCAATGGCCAATCTGGAACGTGCGCTCGCTCATGATACAAAACTTGTCCTTCATTCATAACGTAGAGAAAATATCGGGACCCAAGAGATCCATTAAGATCACTGATCGCTTTACCTGTACCTCCGCCAATGTCATTTACTGCATAACTTGCATTTATTGCAATAAGTTATACATTGGTGAAGCAGTAAGACGAGTAGGTGACCGATTCCGAGAACACCTTTGCGACGTAGAAAGAAATGACAAGGATGCATCCAAACCAGTCGCTAAACACTTTAATCTCCCCAATCATTCTAAACTACATATGGCAGTTTGCGGCCTTTTCTTACATCTTGGCAGTTTGGGGAAGCCGCAAAACACCAGAACAAAACTTTCTCCTACAAATCGGCACTCTTAATCCCCACAGTATCAACGAGCGCTTTTCATTCAACTTATACATTCTTGTTTTCTCGTCACCATATTCCCACCAATGGCGTAGTTTCACTTTCTGCCTATAAACCCACACACAACCCACAATTCCTCCAATCGCTCTAACGAAGGGCTAGCGCTCGAAACGTCAGCCTTCTAGCTCTTTACGGTGGCCAATTTACGTTTTCAACTCAGTTTTTAACACTAAATTATCCGTATATCATGACCGATAGCCAAATATTTTCCCGTCTGGCTCTCCCACTCAATCAATTATTCCATGAGCGTTCGCTGGATACGCGTTGAGTAGGCTATAACCAATCTCGTATCCAGGAAGTGCGGATGAAATCGTTGTTTTATTAAACTTCATTAAATCCTGAACGTTTGGATATCAGGAACTCTGCAACAAGCGGCATAATACATTTCCATGTAAGGTGACTTGGGATATGAGCAGATAACCGGAGTTTAGTGAGCCAATCATAATACTAGAAATGCACCATTCACAGTTCAAAATTTAATGAATAAATATCATTAAAAATTGTACATATATTCATACTTACATACACCTGTACATAAATATGTTAATCATCAGGTCAATAAAGGCCGAAGACATGATTTTACAGTATTTTATAAATACTGAAATACTGGCAAACTCTCTAGTTTTATCTTATGCACCAGACTGCTGTCTTATTTTAGAAGCTTAAAATGTGTTATGAAACTGGTTAATTGTTCCTTTGATAGGAGGTTTGAATTGAACGAAATAAGAAATGTGGAAAGAAAGACAGATCCAAAAAGAGGCGACCGATATCTGATCGAAGTTGAATTGCTGGACGTGACAAGTGGCAACAATGTGATGTTATCTGAATATGTGTTCATGGCCAACGGAGAAAAGAAACTCTGTTATCCAATGGGATTTCAATGGAACAGAACGGTCGACGTCTATCTGATGGTAACTGCTAAAAGTCTTGGAAGATGGCTTCATCATTTTATTAAAAACGTCGAGAAGATCATGCATGAAACGAACGATCAAAATCTTCATGTTGTGATTTATGATTACAACAGCTCTGACATCAACTTGGAAAAGGTTTTAAAGGAAAGTTCGTTGACAAAATACATGTTCAGAAGAGAGAGTGGGAAATATTCGCGGACTCATTCCTTTACTGAGGCAATAAACCTTATATCAAACCCACACAGTATTATTATCATGGTTGATCTTCATCTTGATATTGCAGCACCATTTATCAACAGCGTCCGAAAAGTAAGTTTAGTTCATAATTTGAAATTGATTTAGTTGCTGCTAGCTTGAAAGAACAAGTACGCACCAGAAACCCTTCTAATTTTTTCTCGGCCATTAAAATTCGATTTAAAAATTTACTTCTTACCTCGACTCGAGATTCAAATTTGTAATTTGTAAAAATTGTAATTTGCACTCGTGTTACAACTTTGCACTCGTATTACATAAGAATGCACTCGTTTTCAGCCAATCAAAAGCACGTAATTTTTCATGTACATTATTACGGGAAATGAGGAGAAAAAAGTAGTAACCTGGCCTGAATACCAAGAGGGTGTGAATAACATTGCGCGCTCATTGTCTTTTCTCACGTATTTTGTTTGACAGAGGAGATGAAATTGAGGGTTTCTGGATTTAACTCTTTCAGCCGTAAGAGGAGTCTGGCCTCTTATTTCTCCTAAAAGAATCAGCCTTGAATCAAATGAGAAGGTCATGGGAAACGAGGAAATGATTATCAATTGGAGAAACTCCTGATTGTCGATATAAAATCTCCTCGTCAGTATCATAGGAAATGTAAAGAGAACAATGTGGAGTATATGAATGCTAATATTAGGATGAAGAGGGTTAAGTGAGATTTTGCTATATAGCGAAAACTACGAACAAAGCGAGCGGAAAAATCTTTAGCTTTATCTTGAAGTATTTCCCCATTTAATGTTGTATTTTTTTCAGCATTGTATCGAAGGTCGAATGGTTTTCACGCCAATCATCGTTCAAATGCGCTGTGGTGCTAATCCGGCAAACTTAGTTGGACTATGGCAAGTGCTTGGTTACGGGATAATTGGACTCTACAAGTCGGACTGGGACCGAGCCGGGGGATTTGGGATCAATAAAACGACCTGGGGAGGAGAAGACTATGCACTAATGGACCAGCTTGTCAGCGTAGGACTGGAGTTTGAACGCATACGCACTCCGTATATTCATCACTATTACCACACGAAGAAGGGAATGTGGTGATTCAATATCTCGTTTTATCATTTTCATTATGGTTGCTGATAACGCGCTAGGTCGAATATTCGGATCAACTGTATTTTAATTGAACTAGGGGTGCATATGTATCTTGATAGAGTACTAATGGCGGCTAACCGTCGAGCTAGGCAGTACACCTCGAAAATATCCGCCTCATCGCTGGCTGCCCATGGTGAACCTTTATTTCTTTGTCCAACCGCGGTGAGCAACTAACAAATACTTCATGGATTATGTCCATTTTCTGGAAGAGCAGAAAACGGCACACTTATATGTACGAAAATTCCAGGAAAGATTTGGTAACTCAACAGAAACAAATGGGTATTTATCAGATTACAATAAAAGTCTATATAGTAAAGGGAATTTTTCAGCTTTATTTGTGTTTGCGCTCTCTTGTGGCAACTCCTCGCCATTTATTACACTTTCCCTGAAATAAGTCTTCGTCAACCTTCTACCTCTTGAACGTGCAATTTCGATAACTTTAGTTGGGTCACTCTTTTGGACAAAAAAACTGACTTTTAAATTCTTAGGAAACATTGTATTCTTACGAACAGAATTTAAATGAACATTACATAAACAAGACAGATGAAACACAAGTGAAAAAGCAGAGAATAAAGTTAACTACACACTAAACGGGGAACAAAGTTTCAGTGTGTAACTGTGATTGACAGATTCCTTTAAGAGGGGTGTTACGCGCTTGATTTAACCTATGCGCCAGGGATTAAGACGTTTACTCTTTCTCTCATTTGCTCTGTCGCTCGCGTATCACTAACATTCTCGCAGAGTAGGTGCTTTGCACGGTAAGATTTACAGAAAACTTCCACAGCACTGAATTTTTTTTTCCTCTGTACTTCTTGGCAAGTTATTATTATAGAGATCATGAGAGCATTTTTTGGTGTCTCAGAGGTGCACCAGGAAGTAGTTTGTCTGCAGTCAAACACACTTCCTAGTGCACCTCAAGACAAAAAAGGCAAAATTTTTGGGTGACCAAAGTCACCAAAGTCTAAAGCTGTCCAAAGTGTTCACAGTAGTTTTATTCAGGCTGTTCTAATGAGAAAAAAAATAAAGGCACAACTGCAAAAAGAAAATGTTGCATACCAGGAAAAACAGTCAGAAGTATTGCCTTCACCAAAGAAAAGAATTATACCACCTTCGCCTGATCAATGGGCAACACATTTTTGTCTTGGTTACCCTATCCACCATCTTCACAAATAAAATGAGACTGAAAAAAATAACCAGTTAAGAGATAACAAATTTGTCATTGAGCTGTTAAATGACAGTAAGTCATTACCTGGAAACAGGCCTTCAACATTTAAAGCTAAATAAGTAAGATTTAGACACAAGTTTTATCTTAGAAGGTTAGACTGCAATAACACTGCAAAGCCATGCAATATCCACAAGAATTTTTTGAACTTTTTTCTTAACTTGTGTCCCTCTTGGTTTGCACATACACTGTTGTATGATAATATAATCTTATTTCTAGTGTATCTATTGTCTGTTATTACTCCTGAGGTATTATGCTTTATGATGTAGCAATTGGTTGGGACGGTGGTGGTGTCGGTTGAAAAGCTGCGGAGACATCATCACTTGGCAATGATGGACTTGTCGTGGGTATTAAGGGGGCAGGCATTGCTCCTGCAGTGATGTCGGTCATAAGTGGTGTTGCTGTGGCCGTCACAGTGACTGCAGAACTTCCAGCTGGTGTTGCTGAGGCAGCCGGCGTATTCATTGGGGCCACTGAGAGGAGAGGTGGGGTCATGCCCCCTATCACTGGTGTACCCTGAACTTGGGGCGAGAATGAGGGAACTGTCGGTGGGGCACCTCCAGGTGCTACCAAAGGAGTAGCTACTGGATATGTAGCAGCTGGAACAGGGGATGTGGTTGGAAAACTTGGGCTGAATGGGTTTATGGCTGGCGATGCTGCAGTTGTGTTGAGATTCAAGGAAGTCATTCCTGACTCCAAACCTGTTAGAAATAGAAAACTGAGAACTTAAATACCACTTCCAAAGATGTCCCTAAAAAGCAATTTCCCTCTGAAAAATGCCACTTCAGTAATGTCATCTTTCTACACATACAAACATTTTACATTTGGCTTCTTGTACTTCCAAATATTGTAAGAAAATTGTATGTAAGAGTTACAGTGATTAACTGGAGGGATGGTATTACAGTGGTGCCTAACAAGGAAAAGAATGTATATAATAGTGCCCAAGCTTGTAAAGCAAACTATAAGTAATTTACCTGCTGTTTGTATTGGTGAAACTGTTGATGTTGAAGCTGCAACAAGAGGCACAGAAGTGGGCCCACTGAGAGGAACCTTTAGGAACAACAGATAAGCAAACATAAAACCAAATTTAAAAAATTTATAATTTTAAGTGAAGGAGCTTATGCAAGGCAACAGAGTATTGTAGTAATTGGTTTAATGCTATGCTGAAAACAAGCTTTCTAACACTCATGGCCAAGCTGTTAGGTCTCTCACTAAGGCTTGTTGTGCTTCAAATTTGAAAACTGTGCCAAGTGCTTTGTGATATAAAGCAGCAAACATGCTGGTAATGTGGAGAAATAATCAGAACATCTCAGTGCTCCAAGTGCAAGGTTTTACAAGGTCACCATTTTCCAATGGAAGATCAGAAACAGTTCCCTAAAATTTAAATTTTAGTTGACAGAGGTCACCAATCATTTTTAGACGCCCACACAAAAACTAAAGACCCAACACTCACATAACTAGGGAGAATGAGGCAAAGAACAGCGATAATGGTACCTTGTGCAATTTTCATCACATATTAACTTCAGATCACAAATGTTAAGGAATGCAAACACTTCAGTTTGCAACTTGACCCCTAGACACAGGCTCCCGGTTTAGCAAATTGTGCTGAAAACTTGGTTACCAAAATTTTTTTAATTATTTGCCATGATGACTAAAATGTTTGCTGCTTGGGAGGTTGCATCAATTTTTTTTTTCTTTTTGTCGTGATTAACTAGTTACAACTCTGCAATTCACTTACATCAGAGAAGCCATCAGGAGCAGGAGATGATGATTTAGCTTGTAGGGTCATATCAGGAGGATCTTTGATAGGTATTCTGTGAAGATAGCCGTATCCTATGCCACAACCCATACTGTAAGATATATCAGAGCCAAAAGGTTAACCCTTTCACTCTCAGATCTCAGTAGTAAATCTCCTTACTGTCTGCCATACGATTCTCATGATGTTAGTTCTGAGAATTTGGTATTGGATCAACTAATAATCCCATGATTGATATTTTTCTTTATTCTCATCACTTATCTGGTTGATATTGTATTGATGTTGTAAGGAGAAATTCTGTCTTGGTCACTCATGGGAATTAAATGGTTGAGTGGTCTATACTTACTGTTGTTTTTCTTTGGTCTCTGTGCCAAGAAGTGACTTACAGCTTGTCTACTACTCCTTAAGAAGATGTTGGGTCATTAAAAAATACTCTTCCCTCCCCACCTCCCACCTCAGTATTTTGTCAGGCTTCTTTGACCCTCTCACTCTCAATATCTCATTAACAATTTTCCTTCCTGGTTGCCATTCACTTCTCATGATGTTAGTTCCAAGAATTTGGTATAGGATCAACTAATAATCCTGTAATTGATTTTTTTTCTTAATTCTCATTACATGTCTACTTGATATTGTGTTGATAACGAGAGGGAAAATTTTGTCTTGGTCAGTCGTATGAGTTAAAAGGTGAATAGTTTGACTGTGCCCATATACAACTGGGTGGAGAAAGGCACTCTGAATGTTTTTTGTCTTCCTCAAGAACACACCAGAACTAAAACAAAGTGCACTACAAGACACAAAAGCAGTTACAAGATGTTACTCACCTTCCCTCACCACCCCAATTTTGGTTTGGTGTGATGGTTATCTAGAAAGACAGGTTGTAATTCAGGATTAGAACTACAGCAGGAGCTTTTTTTCAAGCACTGTTCATTTACATTACAACTTGCAAATATAAGGGACATACCTCTCTACAACCATCTGTTTCAGAATTGTAGACGTACAACTTAAGTAGTTTCCCTTCATGAGATTCTATAAGTTGGAACAGGTCTTCAGACTGAAGAAGAAAAAAAAAACAGAATGGCATCAGAGATATACACCTCTGGATTTTAACACTATGTAGCTGATTGGAGTTGTCCTAAGGCGACAAATATGTTGCTTTCTAATAGAATTGTTCATTAAAAAGCCTCCACTGTTTTTATTTATTCATTACCTCATGTAGAACTGAATCAGCTCCAATGATGTAGTCTGTATTTGAACGCAATCCAGCGATATCAGCAGGCGAGTTTGGTTGAACTTCCTTCAGACAAAGGCAAAATTAAGTTAATTGGTTTGTATGACCCTCGTATGAAAAGTTGCAAAAGGTGACATCTTTCTAAGCTTTACTTACCAAAACATGCCATACATTTTCATTAGCTCCTTCAAAGGAACAAAAACGAATACTAACACCTGTAAAAGGTAAGAGACAATTTGTTACACAGTTTATACATAAATTATATTCATCACCTGGGCACTATAGAGCCAACCGTCTTCCAATTGCATAGGAAATGATATTAAATTTTCATTTTTGATAATCTCTTCCCTTCTCTGCTGTATAGGGGAATTCAAATTCCATTTCCAAAATTCACTAAATTCTCCCCTAAAAAAGAGATCTAACTTTTTTGTTTTCAATTTTCCTCACAAGAGGAAAATAGGAAGCAAATTCACGTAATCCTCTATATTTTTCAACAAACTTACCCACTTTATTTACATGTCTGGTTTCTTACCCAATCCAAACATACTTCTGATATTAACATACCTAGGAGACCTTGTCCACCCCACATACTGCTTGGAGTGATGCTAACCTCTGAAATGTGAAGGATGACATGAATGACATGAGCAGACTACCACTTTTTCAACAATTTAATGTGACAGTTCAATTCAGCCATATGTAAACACCTGAAATATTTATGTGATGTGATGTCTGTGTGATTCAGAGATGGGCAAATCAAGTGTCAGAAACCAAACTGAAAACCACAATGGCAATTTTTAGTTTTGAGGTTTAAGTGATTGTGCTGAACTGAATTATTTTTGGTCAATACTCAACTAACCTGTCAGAATCAAATCAAAGTATTCAGTGTTTCATTGGAAGGGCAATAGAAGAGTCTTTCAGACATCTTGGAGTTGAATCAGATAAGGAAGAAAGCTTTCAATAGAGTTGAAATAAATATTTAACCCTTTAACTCCCATGAGAAACCAAGACAGAAATTCTCCTTAAAATATCAATACAATATCAACCAGATAAGTGATGGGAAAAACAAAAATATCAATTTGGAGATTATTAGTTGATCCAATACTAAATTCTCTGAACTAACATTGTAGGAATTGTATGGTTGGCAGCAAGGAGAATTACAAATTTGATCAGGGAGTTAAAAGGTTAATTATAATCCCTTGCTCAAGCTACAGTTTAATGAAAAAAATTTCATTTTTTTTTGACATATTGTGATCCTTTTTTGATCAATTCTCTGTCTACTGAGAAGTTATTTCTATTAATAAGAGAACTAAGGAAAGGGTTTCAAATCTTGGGAGAGTACTGTTACAATTTTCATATTGCAGAAACTTACCTCTAACTTTGCATGTTTTGCTACTAAAAACAAGCATCTTTACAGGTTTTTCTGCATTAGACTTGAGGATTTCCTTCAATGTTTCATTATCTTGATCCTAAATAAATTAAAGGGGAGATAGGGTGAAAAATTAAAATGTGCATTTTAACATTTAACGTCTTTCTAATATACACAATTTCTCATCCTAAATGACTAACGCACAATTGCTCGTAAGTTGTAATGCTGTTTGCTTTTAAAGAATAATTCTAAAGTCATGTTTTACCTCCACTTAATAAAAAACAGCTGCTTACAAAAAAGACAAAAGAGCTTTTATGTTGATCAGCCTTTTTATGAAATTCTTTAGTCACAATCGTCTCCGATTTCATGAAGAGAGAGAGGGAGAGAAACATTGTGCACGACAAAATGTAATACCAGTAATTCGGTAACGTCGAATTTTGCAAAACCACTTTGCGAAGGGCAAGTTTATCTTTGATTCAACCTACCAGTCGTGTATTTTCTATCGAGATTATAAAATCAAAGAAAGGCTCCAATCCTGCTTTATATCCGGGAGAATTTTCTTGAACCTGCAAAACACCACGTAAAATAAGCCGCGTCAAATGAAGAGGGTCAGAACTGGATCGAACAATTTGTGATCAACAAATTGCGCGCTGTTACAGGATAGCTCAAAGTATGCGTTAATAGGATCGATTGCATTAGTCGTATATTACCCTTAATACATGATATCCTTCGGATCCACCGCCTGGGATTTCTGCAGATTGGCCTGCCCCCATGTTACAATTTCTTTAGATGGTCTCTGCTGAGTTTGTCCACTCATTCAAGATGGCCGCCAAAAATGTTGACGTGGACTTCCCGGTAAATCTCCCAGCAGCACCAGCGAGAGTGAAAATATTTCAACGGGGGTGGGGAGGGAGGTGTTTTGTTTACATACACAGATTTCAAGATGGCGGCGCCACGGCCATGTTCAAAAACTCTTTTTTGAAAATCTCCATTTTCATGCCATTTTTTTTCTAGTTTTGGTCACGCTCAACCACTACTATTATGTCAAGTTTAAATGCGAACCCACCTACGTTTTTATCAGCAGGTTGCAAAGCCGAATTGTACACAAAAAGAATGAAATTGCGCTACATGGCGCTTCTGAACTGGTAAGCATGAGATTTGTTTTATCTCTTTTGTTTAATAAAGTTTAGTGATAAATCAGCCTTAGGCTTTTCAAACTATTT